AGGAGTGATGATTTCTTACGGTCGAAAAATGTTTTGTAAAAGTTAAATATGTGGTTTAATGAGAATGGATTTACTGATATATTTATTGAAATATTTTTGTGATTGTGTTCGTGATATTTGGTTGATTTGTCACTATCGTTGGGATTTTAATTTATTGTCTTGTGTTTTTTTAGAGATAGTGGGCTCAAAGTCTATTAAATTTTTTGTTGCTATTTCTTTTGTGATATTAGTGGTGGTTGCTTTCTCAACTTAATATATTGTAAATTATGTCTATTTTTGGTGTAGAAGATAAAATTTTTATTTTATTTGAGCAGCAAAAATCGATTTATGTATATACACCGCGTGTTTATATGCCAACAAGTGGTAATTTGAATCTGTTTTGGTGTAGTGGATCCATGGCAGGAGTGATTATGGTTATTTAGTTGGTGAGTGGGGTGGTTTGTTCTGTTGAGTATTTGAAATTTGTGGGATCCATGTTTGAACTTGGTCAGATTGTTGGAGAACCTGGTCCCATAATAGATGGTCTATCTCTTAATTTGTAGCAATTTTTACACTTGTGGGGTGCGAGGTTACTCTTTCTTTGTTTGTTTATTCATATGGGTCGTGGGATTTATTATAGCAGATATAGAAAGAATCCCCTGATGTAAAGCTCAGAGATTGTGTTATATATTCCTATAATGAGTGAAGCCTTTTTAGGTTATTTACTTCCTTGACACCAAATGTCTTATTGAGCTGGTGTTGTGATAAGTAGTATTTTTTTAACAATTTCCTATGTTAATCCAACGTTGTATGTGTACTTGTTGGGGTCTTATGATTTTGGTAGCAGCATTATAATTTGGGCATTTGTGATTCATGTTGTTTTTGGTTTTTTTATTATATTTTTGATTTTGTTGCATATAGTGAGCCTACATAAGGTTGGTTCTAGGTATTCCTTCAAAAAAAGTGATAGATATTCGGATTCTATTTTTTATCAAAAGCTATATACACGTAAGGAAGTATTTGTGTGGCTGAGGGTGTTTCTTTTTACAGTATTGTTGGTTCGTTATAGTCCATGACTAACAAGATGTTAGGAAAATTTTAAAGAAACAATTGTTTTTTCAATTCCAACAAATATAAAGCCCGAGGGGTATTTTATCCCGTTTTATGCTATTCTACGCTCTATTAAAAGTAAGATAGCTAGGATAATAGTTGTTGTGTTAGTTATAATTTTATTTTGAGTGCGAAATCCAGCTTGGTATACTGGTTTTAAAATGGCGTTTCGTCGTTTATTTTTTTTAGTTTTTAGTTATAGTCTCGTGTCTTTGGGTGTATTGGGCTCTGTTGAGCCAAAATGTTTGTGTCAGCTGATGAGGTTGTTTACCAACCTGTTGTTGTGATTTTCTCTGTTGTTTATTAAGGTCAGGGATTATTTTTATTTGATGGTTTATAGTATATAGGTGCTTGAAGTATATTTATTTTTATTATTGGTTGTTTGTGTTTTATTACTAGGTAGTTGTTTCGTTACTTGATTATTATGCTTGCAAGCTCATAATTCATTTAGGTTATTTACGGACCTAGGCACTCTCGGTCAAAGATTTCCTTTGTGGGTTATTAGGTCTTTAGGATCAGATCAGGAGATTTAAACTTTGAAAAGTCCGATTTAGGAACCGTATTGCATATAGACGCTAAGACATACAAATATAGATACTCATACAATCAAGCAAAAATAACAGAACCAGTATGAAAGAAAATTAACAAAACCACTCTAGATCTATCTATCTAAGTTCTTTAATTTTTAATTTTTTAGCTCGATTGAGTCTATATAAGAAGTAAGATAGAGCTGACTAGTGTTCTCGCTTTAGTGTTTACGAGAAACTTTTACAACAATGACACTCAGCTCTGATTATGTCCATCATATGATGAACAAGAGCTCAGTACGTTTTCACCCAAAACGAGGGAGGAAGTCTCGTGGACTGCCTCAACATGAATATCGTATAAAAGCCAAACGGCTGCATTACAACGAGATTCCTCCGTCCTCTTCTGGTGAGATCGACCAGCGAGTCTCTTATTCATGCACTTTCATTCAAAACGAAGGTCCCCCTAACAATATTTGAGTCTTGTGCAAATAAAAGCGGAATTTTGATTAAGGCCTAAACCTGGTCAGGATTATATAGGAAAGTTGTTACTGCAGTGTTGAGTCTTGTTAGATTCAAGGAAAATTAGGTTTTTACAGTAGGCAAGGTCCAAATTCATATATTCGAACTAGTTGATGTATGAATACTATTTAGTTTGTGCCCAAAAGTCATTTTATATAATGGCTAGATTTTTCCGTGTGGAGCAATTGAAATTAGTTGTATATTGTGTAATCCGAAAGCTTGCTTAAGATGGACAAGCAGGGAGCATTATTTTTAAGTAAAGCAGAGGATATATTTACTAGATGCATGCAAATTACTTATATTACTTACTTATAGGAGATTAGATTAACTGTCTAGAAAAATGTCACATTGGACCAGCTAGACCATCTCATGTAGGCATAATAGAACCATTCTCTTCAATACAATCGTCATGGATACGTGAATATACCTCATATAACTGATGTACTGGTGGTCTCAAAAATCTAATTAGAAACCCAAAATAAGTCATTTAGCCGATCGTCATAGTAAATATAACTTTACTTTATCGACAATCCAACCAAAGAATGTGATAAGGGAAAATACCTGGCATTCTCTAAAATTCACATATGCCCAATGACCCAAAGGCAATGTGGCGTAGTGGGCAACGTGTCGAAATTACACACTGCCTTGCCATGGTTCGACTCCCACTGTGATCGTTGATGAAACCTAGGTGAGGTCGAAACTGCAGTCTGCCCTGAATAAGAAAATCTCTTGGGAGAGCAAGGCTATGTTAATTTTAATGAAAACGTTAGCTCTATTCATGTAATTGTAGGAAAGTTCAACTTAAACGAAATAGCGTAAATACATCTCATGTAGATTGCAGAATTTTGCATTTATTTGCTGACACAATGCTTGAATTGATTCTGATCTGGCGTAGGTGAATAAAGTCTATAGTTTATTGGAGATTTGAAACACCTTGACTTACCTTGAATACTTCAACGATTTCTTTAAGCATAGTTTTTTACTTTGCTGTCAACCAGATATTTAACGCTTACTTTGTTCCGAACTTGCAAAATCCATTTTCATTTTTTCTATGATTGTCTTGATTAACGAATAGGCAATTTTTATGCGAATGAAATGCTATTTCGTTTTTTAATTAATTATCTATTTACGTGAATGATATGCCCCGTCCATTTATTTAGTTATTCTTCCATTGATCAGCCCTTGAATATAAGACCTACTATGACTTTATAGTATTAGCTTTACTCACACACAACTGAAATAGATTGATAAAACTGTCAATTATAACTAAAGAAATCTCATTGTATCTTATCCTCAGTTCCCTTTTCTATTAATAGCTTGGCTTTACTTATACTTTTTTATATGCATGAACTTCGAGAAGTATATGAATCTTTCATTCGAAACTAGGTAAACTTAAATGGCCTTATTTTATCCGGGGATTAATACTAGAGTTTTCTCGACAATAGTATAGGTAGGCCTCATGATAGCATTTACTTTCATTTATCCCTTCTTCACAACATTTTCCAACTCACTCTCACTTATCATAGGATTTGATATCAGGTTTGAGCATTGTGTTGACGTCACGATTCGGCTTCAACGTCAAGGGTAATATTAGTCTCAAGGCAGATGTGAAAATCGGGAAATAAGTAGCTTCTAATTCAATACTTACTTAACTCATCAAACTAATTAGTGATGATAATTGCAATAGTATATTTATGCTTACCTTATCAATGATTTCGCTATAAATGGGATTTAAAAGATGCCCATCATCTTCCAATTCTCTCTTATCAACTAAGACACTTGACTGCTTAGTTGAATAGTAATATTACTTCACTGTTTATTACCAAGTATTGAATCCAGTTGTTGGTATTAATTCACTTTGTTGAGCTTACTTCCATTTTGAGTGAAAGTGTTGGGTGAAGATATTCGAAGGTCGGTTCCACGAAGGCGGATTCCTCTTGACCAGCTGTCGATTGACTTTACTGGAAGATTCATGCTGAAGCTGTTTCCGAGGCAATCTCCTTCGATTCCGGTAAAGAGGTACTAAGCTTTCGTCCGTCATATGACGGACCTAATTAGAGCAAGCCTAGCCCCTTTTCACCGGATTGCCTCGAAAACAGCGTCAGCATGAATTTTCTAGTAAAGCCAATCGACAGCTTGTCAAGAGGAATCCGTTGTTGTCTTCTGGTGGAACCGATCCTTGCATCTCTTCACCCAACACTTTCACTCGAAATGGAAGTAAGCTCAACGATTATGAAACAAGAGATTTATCGAAACCCAACTTTTCTTCGAATTTATTCACTTTACCTAACTATAACATAGCTGATAGCATAGAATGATAGGTAATATATGCTTAAACAAAACATGCTTTCTTTTGATAAAAACTAAAGTTACCCCAGGTAGTCTAAACTGATGACAAATTTTTAGCGGAATTTGTCCACGATGATACTAGTAAGCCTCAGGATTCGATTGAATTTTACTCAACCTTGCCTCCAAAAATGTATTTTTTTCCCGACTAGACAGGAATGCGGGTTTGATCTTGTCTGAGTCTCATCGGCATCCCTTATTGAAATCGAACCCAGGTAGCGTAGCGTAAAATTTCGACGTCAGCACTATGCTACAATTGCACCAATGCCAAATGATCATAGGGTAGAGCAAATTTTCCCTATATAGCACTCAAATGTAGGAATGTCTCCGAGAAAATCTTGTATTTTGTTCTTAGATTGGTTTACGTTAGTTATATCGACGGTAAACAGGTTTATATAATATAAGTATATCTTAAGAGCTGCATGA